AAAGCCTTCTCCTAATTCATTCACCTCAGAGCAAAAGGCTATCTGGGTATTTTCCCATAAATCAGGCATTGTGTTACACACAAGAAATGCCTTCTATCCTATTTCTAGGATAGAAGATACCTTGTTTTTCACCCATGTTATTACATGGTTCTCAGAAGTGGGGAACAAAGGAAAGGAGAAACTACACCTAGATCTTTAAACTGAAGAGTGAAATGAATGTGATATTATTAACAGAAATAGGGAAAACAGTGATAGGGCTTGCTTGTGGTGAATTAGTTGTAGAAAAGTTGAAGAAGTTGCTTGTGAAGTGTCTGGATATAAGTGGAGCACCCAAACACACGAAATAGATGTAACAGCTTAAAATCAGAGAATGAATGAGAGGTTTTGCTGCTTTATTTTACTTTTAGTATAATAACTTCTAAACTTTTTGGTACCATAGATCACTTTGAGCATCTAATGATAGCTATGCACATTCAGAAATAAAAATCTACATATGCATATACCACTAAAATCATATGTATATATGATTTATATATGTATATATTTCTAGATTTTCAGAACTCCAGCTAAAGTTGCACTGCCCCACCTCACCTAGTAAAAAAATATAAAAAAGAGAAAAGTTTGAGCACTGAATCTGTACTGCATTAGAAATTGATCTTTCCTCCTCTTGTAGTTCATCTTCCTCACCTCAGACAAGCTAAAATTTTATGTGTGCCAAATAGCTTCTTACCTAGCAATGCTTTTAAGAGATAATGAGAAACAAAGCAGGGCAATTCAATGATAAGAGTTCCTAACCATTGCCAGCAAGAAAATGACCCAAGGTGTTCATTTTCTCAATTACTGTAATGTTGATTTTCTTTTTGGATGGGCAAGTGCTCCTGAGAAAACCTCAAGGCAAATTGTATCTATACTGGCATATACAGTTCACCCGAAGCCTAGAGGCAGCAGCTAGCAATTATATTCCACTGATTAATGTGCAATCCTAAATTTACAGGCTTGATGGTCCAAAGAGGCTCCCTGCTATGTGAGATAATGAATAGGAAATTGTCAGAATAATTAGCCTAGTCAGACTTCACATGTATACCTTTAAGATATTAAAAAAAAAAATGCCTGTCCTTTAACAGAATCAGAGATTTAAAAATGGGATGTGAAGAAGGAATGCTGTAGTCAAAATATTCCTTTGTGCCATTTTTGCTTCATTCAGTTCACTGACCATATTGTCTGTAGGAAATACAGTGCTGCACCTCTCAGATTCACCTTTAGAGTACCAGCCACTAGACGTGCTACTGTGTCTGCAATCAACCCTCTCCAGAATTTGGTCTCAGCAAGAAGCAGCTGTCTTGCCCAAGGTCAGCCTATCCACCCAGGAAGAAAGCGGGGCAGCACACATTCAATGACTAGTCAATGCCAGATTATAAAGGCCTGGCCCACCTTATAAGAACAAGACACAAATCAGAAGGGCCAACCCATCTTCAAATCTCCCTAGAGGTTGACTAAAGCTTTAGTTGAGACCACATTACAGACCACCTTCTCCCTCTGTCAACTCCTAGTTCTCTCCCTGAGGACACTCTTCATAAACTTTCTACATACTAATTGTTAACTGAATCTTCTTACCAGAGACTCTAACTCACAGTAGTGTCAAAATCACACATCAGTGTCAGGATTACAATAAAGAAATGACCTTGAACCAAGGAATAGTCTATTTAATTCAGCTTAATTAATATTTTTTGTATGCCTCCTGTGTACAAGTTTGAAACTATGCCAAAGTAGGTTTCTTCTTGAGATTTTCCCTTTAAAAAATTTGTATTGTTGTTTGGTTTACTCTGGTTTCGTCTTGTGAATCAAACATACATAAACTCTAATGTCTAAGGTGATTCTTCTGAGTAAATTCACCTTCTTTTTTAAATTATCTCATAAACTAAAAAAAATACAAGCTTTAAAAAGTGCCCCAAAAGAAAAACTGTTTATATAAAAGTCAATATTTTATGTTACATTTGAAATACATAATTATGTGTATAGCTTGACTACAAAAATTCAAATAGATCAGAAAAAGGCATGAAAGGACTTTATAGGTCACCTATAAAGATGACATGTGATGTCAATATCACTATGTATTATCACTACCGTGAAGGACACCAAAATTTCTATTAACTATAAAGACCACAAGTGATGAACTGAATGAATTACCCATGGTAAAAGATGATCCTCTTTTCAAGTGTTATACGAATATAGTTTAAAATGATGGAGATTGACCCTGTCTTAAGCAAATCTGGTATTAAAAATGGAGACTACTATAAAAAAGAGAAGAATGATTTTTTAAAAAGAATTCAGTCAGGTTGTTTTTAACATTCATGAAAAATATGTCCCAAATGTTAAAATATATTTATACAGAATTCAATATTTTATCAGCATATCTTACAGATATGTTTCAACATTGAAATCCCCTTTTTGTTCCTATCTTCTGTAAATATTATAAATCATTATCACTGTTTTTATTTTTTATATTGTGATATTATAATTTGTAAAAATAAACATATATTTGGTCTTGATCCCCTTTTCTGGCACAATGCTCCTAAAATCCTTCAAATTTCATAAATGATGAGTGCGATAAAGGTATCTCTTGTTACGTTAATGAGGTGACTTTTGGAAGGCACCTAAAGAAGGGGCTGGTTCCCAGGACAACCACACACATTAGTGTTCAGTCCCACACTCCTGAACTCCTGGGAGAAGAAAAGCATCTGGAGGATGACTCAATTACTGTTATTGTTATATGTTATGAACAAGTAACCAATATGAACAAGTAACCAATAGTTTAATCAATCATGCCCAGGTAATAAAGCTCCCATTAAAAGCCAAAAAGATGGGGTTCAGAGAGTTTCCGAGTTGATGATCATGTAAACATTTGGGGAGAATGATATGCTTTGAGAGAATATGGAAGCTCAGAGCCCCTTCTTCCACGGATTGCCCTATGCATCTTTTTGTTTCTATATTATATTCTTTTGTAATAACTAGTAATCCAGTAAGAAAAACATTTCTCTGAGCTCTAGACAACTAATTGACCCCAAAGAGAAGGTCATGGGAACGTAATGATTTATAGTCAGTAGGTCAAGGAGTACAAGTAACAACCTAGGCTTGGGAGTGGTGTCTGAAGTGTATATGTGGGTTGGGAGTTGGGGGACAGTTTTATAGCACTGAAGCCTTAACCTGTCGAATGTGATACTACCTACAGTTAGATACTGTCAGAATTGAGCTGGATTCTCAGACACCCTGATGGTGTTGGAAAATTGCTTGGTGGTATGTGAGGAGGCAACTCCCTCTCCCACAGAAACACATACTGGAATTGGGTCCAAGAACTCAAAAGATAAACTTAGATATAAGACTCACCCTTCTGCCTCTTAGTAGTGTGACCTTACAACAACCATTTACCCATTCAAAGCCTTAATTTGTTCTTCTGTAAAATGGAGTTGGAAATAGCTAGCTGAGACCTATTGAGATGACTAATAAGAAATATATAAGAAAATGTCTCACAGTCCTCAATGGTTATTGTTTGTTTTCTGTAATGTAAAATGTTTGATGAAATTTTTCTTACAGAGATTTAAAAAGGAATATGTCCAAATGATTTAGGACACATTCATATCCCTTTAGCTTACATGGCTACATATATTTTAACCTGAAGAGAGTATTTTTAAATAACATTTTTTACTCAGTAGTTATAAATAATAACTAATGTCCTAATACAGAACAACTCATTATTCCCCCCCAAAATGTCCTAAAATAAAGGGAACTGCTTCCATATTAAGAATATCTACATCTCTATCCAAATACATAATGTTCTTTTTACATTTTGATCCTAAAAAACATTAAAAAAAGAGAAAGAAAGACTCATGCTAGCTGAGTATCTCAATTGGAGCATTTTCCCAATATGCCAAGGTTGTAGATTCTATCCCCAGCCAGAGCACATACAAGAAGTAACCAATGAAGCCATGGATGAGTGTAAGAGCAAGTTGATGTCTCTGTCTCTGTCTGTCTGTCTGTCTCTCTCTCTCTCCTTCTCTCTCTCTCTTTCTATCTCGCTCTCTCTCTTTCTCCCTTCCTCCCCACCAAATCAATAAAATAAAATATTGTTAAAAAGGACTCATGAGATGAGACAACAACTTTGCTAAGTACCCAAGCATTTTGTAATATAAGAATCTAGCAATGGTAACAGGTCTCAAATCTTCCTAGAAGGGTCTCTGTACTGTGTTTAGTAAATAATTTTGACTACTGGGATCATTGGCTTTAAAGCTGAATTTGATGAAAAGCCTCAGGCACAATTTTAACAGTGTCCCAAACCACTGTAATTAGGCAATTAATGCTTAATGATATAGAGGAAGAGTACAGCTCTATCCTACATAAAATTGAAAGACAGGCATTGCTTGAATTGTTGAGATCATGGAGGCATGTGTTTTCCACTGTCAGCATTGCAGAATTTTTTGTTGTTTTTGTATTTTAACATATAGCAGCAAAAATATATTTAATCTAAAGGCATTCAGTCAACACTTAGAAGCAAAATGTACAAATGGAAAAGGACACACTTTGATATTCATGGGTATTGGGAAGTTTAGTTGAGTGTATAGCATATTTATGTGTTTAGTGAACTCTTCTTTACTTAGCCCTGTTTCATGTATGACACTAGGATTAAGTATGTTTTGGAGTGCTATAGTTTTAACACTTTTCCAGGTTAGGATTTTTCTTCTTTATAGAAGTCAATATTTCTGTAAAAGGAATTTTGGGAAGTGGTTTCTTGATTCAAATTTAACTTCCATAATAACCTATATTGTGACATTTTGAAATGTTTAATTACATAGACATTCACCCACTACCATGCACTCTGTGAGGTGCCAGAACCATGGAAATGACACCACGTATGAGCAAGAGACATTCTCTCCAATGGTGCTGGCAATGGTTATGTATGTGTGTGTGTGTGACTACAACCCTCTATACAACTAGCTCATATGAAATTAAGGTTCTTCTTTTGTAAGGTTGATGTGAAATGACTTTTCATGGATGAATTGTTCTTCTGAAAAGTGATATCAAACAGAGTCAGTAATTCATATAAAGATGATTTTTAAAAGACCAGGAACTGCTCTTGTCATGAGAACTCTGATTTGGAAGCAGAATTGAAACTAATTCTGGCTTCAAATCTACTCAAGGGTTAGGTGGTTAACTATATATTAACAGGATGAAAATATGAGCAGAAATGAAGTCAAGGTGATAGTAAATCACAAAGTACTGTTAATTAGTTACATACATAAAACATATAATTTACTAAAAAACCCATAAAATTTAATAATATAAATATAAAGGAACAAAATAAATTTTTTAATACATTTGAGAACTTAGACATTCAAATAAAGGCCAAGAGGCCCAGGGTGGAATCTCAGCTCTCATTTACTAACTGTACATTTCAACAATTTATAAGCCTTTATCTCCTCACCCAAGAGTTTGACATGGTAATAACTGCCCTTTATTCAAAATACAGATTACTAATATGAAAGCCTTTTATGAATTATAAATGCCATACAAATGTGAGGAAGTAAATTGGCTGCCATTAGGGGCACCTTCTTATAAACCACATATATTTACTTTTTTTGATATCTCTACAATGTTTTAATTATCATTTGTATCATTTTAGGTGAGTAAGTAAAGAAATCAAACTAAATGACATTGCTTGAAACTTAAGTTAAAAATTGTGTAGTGAGGAACAAAGATTTTCTTTTTGTAAATTTTTTGCATTCTGCACACTGACATAGAGGTGAAAGAAAATGACTGAAACTTAAATATGAAAGAATGTTTTACAATTAAATCCACATTGTATCTATTTATCTTACATGTCAGTGCAAAAATCAACAACTATTATGAAATAGGATAAATTATATCAAAAAGAAACAAAAACCTCATGAAAGTATATCCAAGTATGAAAAGTATTGTACTTGTAGTGTCTTCACATCCTTTTCTTCTGTGTACTATGTGGAACATATTGTTTCCTTGGATAAATGCATCCCCATACTTATTCTTCAGTTGCTCATTTACATATTCTTCCCTGCGCTCCAAGATGATGAGTATATTCATGTAGCTATGCAGGCAAGCCAGGACCCCTTGCGAACCCACTCCAGAATTTAATGCTACCACAATTGGTAGTCCAATGATTTGCATTAAGTCACTGGGAGTTTGCTTCCACAGACTCATTTTAACAATCCTGATCAGAAATTTGGGAGGCAGGAAACTTGAGTTCTAATCTCAGCTCTGCTACTTAATTAGCTGTGTGCCTTGGATAACTCATCATTTACTTCTCAAGGTGCCAAGTTCCTCATCTTGTGGCTGAGATCTGGAATCCCCACCCTAGGTGACTCACAAGCTCAAACTTAGCTGACAATGGTATGAAACTGAAACCCACACATGCTTACTTTAAAATAGTATAAAGTTCCCAGATGCATAAGTCATCTTATGAATTTGCTCACCCTAAGTTGTGGTGAGCCAAAATTCAGATGGTATTGACTGTGCCTGATGAGAAAATATGTTGAATCTGAAAAATATGAGTAAAATCAAGAAATTCCAATCTGAACCTATTTCAAGACATGAAGTAGAAAATAAATTCCTGAATTAAGGACATGCCCTTAGATACAGAAAAGTACACCAAAGAGTAAATATAGTGCTTCCTTCTGTAATCCAAGTTCGTTTTGTTGTTGTTCAGGTGGAGTTCCAGGTGTTTATTATCTAATGGGGAGCTAGAAGGACATACATGGAAATATATCCTATGGCTATATGCTTCTTGGGCATCATTCTAATGCCAATACCCAACTCCCTAGAGAATCTGTTTATTCCCATTAACTATATTTTGCCAAACTAGTTTTGAATTAAAAGACTGCTTTGTTTTCTTGAAATGACTAGGAAAAGTAAATTTAAGTGTATATATTCCAGTGTGGAAACCAAAGTACTGATCACACCATCCCTGACATTCAGACCCCTTTCAAACAGAGCTGTAAAATAGTTTTATATGATGTCAAGGCTCAAACTCAAGATTAAAAACTGAATTGTTCTTGCCCTGGCCATGGTTCAGTTGTATAAAGTATCATCTGTACACCAAAAGGTTGCAGGTTCCATTCCCAATCAGGGCACATATGGGAAGCCACTAATCAATGTTTCTCTCTCTCCCTCTGCTTCCCTCCCTTCCTCTCCCTCTAAAAATCAATAAACATATCCTCGGGTGAGGATTTTAACAAATTGTGTTATCCTTTACATGACTGTCTCAGGTAACTGAATACCCAAACAGCAGTTCATTACCTAAAATCTATGGTCTTCAGGGGAGGAAGTATGTCGAGAATTTTCCAAAATCATGTGTATCATATTTGTAAATATGAACATTTTTCTGGGGAGAGGATCTGTATCTGTCACTAGCCCCTCAAGATGATCCAAGACACAAAAATTAAGAACTACTACCTTAAGCTAAATAAGAGTGAGAATTTGAGGTCTGTCAAAACTCCTGTAAAAAATGCATTTTTATGTTTTTTATCCTATAAAGGGCAAGTTGATAAATAATCAGCAAAAGACAATCTTCCTTCATGTAATTTTTAAAATTTGCTTGGCTCTTTAATTTCAAGTGATAATGAAAAATTTTGTATTAAACTGAAATAACCAGTAGTTTTTGAGCCAGTGTATACACAATCTGGGCTCTAACTCATAAAATTGCTCAACTAAGCTCTTACTTGTTGGCACAAAAAGGAAAATGAATGTGAGGGTATTTTTCATACCATTTTTAGGATTAAAAGATTTTTTAAATGATTTCTCTGATTGATGCATACTAACATTTTAATGATTTTTTAAAACTATAAGCTCCTTGCTTACCTAGCAAAGAAAGCATGACTATAATGAAAAATTCCAATTAATAAAGAAAGCTGTCTCCATTGCTTCAGCTTAACACTGCAAAAAAGCATTTGTGAACTAAAGTTAAAACAAAATTTTCGTGAACAGCAGCAAATAAAGTCATTTTAGATTACAAAAAATGTTTCTCGTCCTTTTGAGGCATTTCCTTCCTTGCCTGTACATGAAACTTTATAGAACCTGAAAATTATTATAACTAAAGCCTATAAGTTTTAAGCATATATATATTTTTTCAAATTAAATATAAGAAAAAGTAGCTCTAAATTTAATGTTTGTCTTCAGAGTGACAGACTGCTATAGCAATGGTAGCAATAACATTGATGCAGTACTTTCATTTAGGGAATTCTTTTTTTAAAATTTTATATTTATTCCACTTTTATTAGTATGATAATATAACTTATCTTTCCTTCCCCCACTATTTTTTACCATGTCAGTATCTTTATAACTACTCTCACCAATTACCAATCTATGTTTCACAATATTAACAGAGTGATCATTCAAAATGTATGTTCATGATGAGGGGCACATTTAAAATCATTCAGTGCCCCCTATTAATTTTAGGACAATATTTTAGACTTTAACATTAACTAGTTAAAAAAATAGTTTTTCAATATTTTGAAAAAATCTTGTCTACCTTCCCAAGTTCTTCTTTCACTGTTCCTCCAACACACTTTTCAAAATAATTATATTTTGTTTCCTTAATTATATTATACTTGGCCTCACTTCTCTGCCTTTGCACAAGCTGATCCCGCTGCCTAAAATTTCTTTCTCAAATAAAAGAAATTGATAAAATCACCATTTTACAATTTCTAATAAAAAAATTTATTCAAGCAATGGTCATCAATGGATATTAAAACCATTAGGCATAAGGTTGACCAGAAACAATACACTTTCACCACCTCAATTTACTAATATACTAAAAGTGAGACAACCAGTAATTATTTGATTCCTGATGGGATGTAACATGAATTACTTTGCACTGCTTATGAAGAATTATCTAAAAAAATCCTTTAGTTCTAACTTTCAGTTTATAGAAATAGGTTTGTAAATTTAAAAAATCATAAGAACTATTGATTCAGATTTAGATAGTAGATATCTTAGGTTGTGTTCCCCCCAAAAGAAGACATTGAGACAAAGTTTATGGGTTTTTGTAGGATATCATTTGCAGAAAAATAAGAGAGCAAAATAAAAAATGGAAGAGAAGGAAGCTGCCAATAGGAGTATTATTAAGCAGGTCATTGCTGCAGGAAACGGCAGTTCGATCTCACTAAGAAACTGAAAAACAGTAGACTACATCTTAGAATTATCTCAAAGGTTAGGAAGTTGAATCATTTATCCATTCTCGTCGATCATTGGTTGAAGGCTGTTAGAGGCAGTGGAAAGCTACTGATAGGGAGAGACAAGAAAGCCCAAAACCAGTCACAGTTGCTTTCTTCTTTTTTCCTTTTTTTAAAATTGTTTTTCTATTAAGTCATGCCAGTTTCACCTTCTTTGCCCTCCTCCAACCCATCATACTCCCACTCCCACAGTCAATCCCCACACTGTTGTCCATGTCCATGGGTCATTCATACATGTTCTTTGACTAGTCCCTTCACCTTCTTTCCACCATTGTCTCCCCACTCCTCCCCTCTGGTCACTGTCAATCTATTACATGTTTCCATGCCTGTGGTTCTGTTTTGTTCATTAGATTCCTCTTATAGATGAGATCATATAGTATTTGTCTTTCACTGACTGGCTTATTTTTCTTAGCATGATATTCTCCAGTTCTATCCATGCTGTCACAAAAGGTAGTTTCTTCTTTCTTTTTGATGCATAGTATTCCATTGTGTAAATGTACCACAGTTTTTTGGTCTGCTCATTTACTGATGGGCCCTAAGGTGGTTTCTAGCACTTGGCTATTGTAAATGGCACTGCTATGGACATAGGGGTGCATAAGTTCTCTTGAACTGGTGGTTCAGGATACTTAGTGTATATTCCCAGCAATGGAATTGCAGGGTCAAAGACATTTCCATTTTTTTGTTTTTTGAGGAAATTTCATACTGTTTTTCACGGTGGCTGCACTAATCTGCATTCCCACCAACAATTCACTAGGGTTCCCTTTTCTCCACATCCTCATCAGCACTTGTTGTTTGTTGATTTATTAATGATGGCCATTCTGACAGATGTGAGGTGATAGCTCAGTGTGATTTTAATTTGCATCTGTCTGATGGCTAGTGATGTTGAGCATTTTTTCATGTGTCTATGGACCCACTGTATGTCCTCCTTGGAGAGTGTCTATTCAAGTCCTTTGTCCATTTTTTAATTGGATTATTTAACTACCTAGTGTGGAGTCATGTGAGTTCTTTATATATTTTGGAGATCAAACCCTTATCCAATGTATCACTGGCAAATATGTTTTCCCATACAGTCAGTCCCTTTTCATTTTGATGACAGTTTCTCTAGCCATGCAGAAGCTTTTTAATTTGGTGCAGTCCCATTTGTTTTTCTTCATATTCCTTGCCCTAAGAGGTATATCAGCAAAAATATTGCTACATGGGATATCTATGTTTTCCTCTAGGACTTTTATGGCGTCATGACTTATATCTAAGTCTTTTATCCATTTTGAGTTTATTCTGGTGTATGGTGTAAGTTGATGGTCTAGTTTCATATTTTTTGCATGTACTAGTCCAGTTTTCCCAATGTTATTTATGGAAGAGTCTGTTTTTACTCCATTGTATGCTCGTCCCCGCTTTGTCAAACATTAATTGGCCAAAGAGACATGGGTTTACTTCTCAGCTCTTTATTCTGTTCCATTAGTCTATGTGTCTGTTCTTATGCCAGTAGCAGACTGTTTTGATTATAGTGGCCTTCTAATACAGTTTGATATCAGGTACTGTGATCCCTCTTGCTTTGTTCTTCTTTCTCAAAATTGCTGAGGCTACCCAGGTTCTTTTATCTTTTCATATAAATTTTTGAAATATTTGTTCTAGATCTGTGAGATGTGCCATTGGTATTTTTTAAGGTTTTTTAAATAACATTTTTTTAAAAGTTAACAAGTGCATATAATAGGAAACTGAAAAACACAAGAAGCAAAGAACAAAGTCATCCATAACCACAAGCAGTTTACAGTTTGACATGTCCTAACTCCCCTGTGTGTCTACATTACTAAGTTTCTATTTTTATGTAATTATAATGGTCAAGTTATGAATCATGTGTTTTCACACATCACAAGTATTTACCATTTCAAAGTCTCAAAACTAAATTTTATATTCCCAAAGTCACAAGTTCACTATACCAATTCAGTCTGAAAGAAAAATATGTAATCCTGC